GGTTCAAGGGGATGATGGTGAGTGACTTGTAGCAACAGATGGGGGAGGTGGTGTCCCACACCCTAGGGTTAAGGTAGGGAGACATAAGGGGAGCTATTGAGGAAGGTGTGGGTTCAGGGAGGAGGATGGCAATGAGGTGTGGCTATAGTCCAGGAACAGTTAAGGAGGCAGACCATTTTGCTAGGATATTTCGGCCTATCAGGGGAACTAGACAAGTGGGGATGATTAGGAAAGTATGTGGAAAGGAGTGCTGGCCTAATTGACACCAGACTTAGGGAGTTTTGAGAAGCCTGGAGGCCTTGCCATCAATTCCCACAACCGTTATGGAGGCCAAGGAGACAGGTCCTTGAAGGCAGCATAGGGTGGGTGGCCTCTGTGTTAAGAAGGGGATGGACTTTTACCCTCCACCATAAGAGTTACCTGAAATTCAGCATCCGTGATGGTCCACGGGGCTTCCAAGACGTCTGGACAACATCAGTCTTCAGCTGCCAAGCCGATTCAGTCTGGGAGCTTTGGGTTGGAGCTCCAGGAGCTCTGGGAGCTTCAATGTGAGTTAGATGGTCCAACTTTCCATGGAGGTCCCGCACAGGCAGGGCAGGGCTTAGGAGGAATCCTGGGTTGAGGGCATTCCTTGGCCCACTGGCCGGGTTTTCAACACTCGAAGCAAGGTCCGAGAGGGGTGGCTGGATGCTGCAGTCTTTTATGAGCCAGTGGTGTGGCTAGAGTTTGTCTTACGGCAGAGGCAAGCATCTGTAGTTCTGGGATGTGCTGCTGCCGGGAAGCCCCTTCCCTATTACTGAACACCTTGAAGGTGAGATTGATTAATTCCCATTTTGGGGTTTGAGGGCCAGATTTTAATTTCTGTAGCTTTTCAGTATCTGGCTGGCTGGGCACAGTGGCTCATGCTTGTAATCCCTGCACTTTGGGAGGCTGAGGTGGGCGGATCACCTGAGGTGTGGAGTTCAAGACCAGCCTGACCAACATGGAGAAACCTGCCTCTACCAAAAATACAAAATTAGCCAGGCGTGGTGGTGCGTGCCTGTAATCCCAGCTACTCGGGAGGCTGAGGCAGGAGAAGTGCTTGAACCCGGGAGGTGGAGGTTGCAGTGAGCAGAGATCACAACACTGCACTCCAGCCTGAGCAACAAGAGTGAAACTCTTTTTTCCCCCCCCCCCTCAAAAAAAAAATGTCGGGGGCTGATTATGTGATAAAATGCATATTAAGCATTCTTCATGGGTGAGAGAAGAAGTTAGGATGACATTTAAATCACTCCAGGTGAGATTATAGGACTGGGTTAGGTATTGGAGGATCTGATGAAAAGCAGCCTAACCTTTGGCCAATCTGGAAAAGGTTTGATAAAGAGAAAGGAACGTGTACCCTAACTATGCCTTTGGCTCCAACCACCTCTTGAAGGGGGAATTGTTGGGCAGGGGTGGAGGAGTTAGCTGCAGGACTAAACTGTAAGCTGGACAGGGTGTGAGGTGGGAGGTGACAGAAGGGGCATAAGGAGGTGTGGGGTATGGGAAGAGGAAAAGGAAGAAGCCTGGGGGCAGGGGTTGGGCCTGGAATTGGGGTCTGGTTTGGACAGGTGGGGAGGAGAAAGGTCAGAAAGGTCCATGGACAAGAAGGATTCTGGGTTACCTGCAGAGGCAGGAGGGGGCGGATGGAAGGGGAGAGGAGCAGAGATTAGGGTGGGATTAGAGTATTAAAAAATGCCTGGATGTCTGGTACCTTAGACCATTTGCCCATTTGTTAACAAAAATTGTTTAGGTCTCACAGAATAGAAAAATTGAAAGTGCCATTTTTCTGGCCATTTGGATAGAGGTCAGGCTGTGTTACAGAGACATTTAGGTTTCAGATTGGGCAACAGTTGAAGAGGTTGTAGATTTTTTTTAGGACAAAGGCTAGAGGTGAGGATTGAGGAATGGAGAGCTGAGTGTTTCCCATAGTGAAGGAGGTAAGTTTTAAGGAAAGGAGTAGAGACAAGGAGGAGCAAGCAGCTACCAGCGTTTTCAGTAGGCATCCCTGACTGATTCCTGGGCTGTAACATGGGTGAGTGATCAAGGCAGGTATCCCCACAATTGACCAGACACCAAGGGAAGAGTCTTGTCTTCCCGTGTCCATGACCAACGTCAGAGTTCTTGAGCTAGAGGAAGAGACTTGTCTCCTCCGGCTCCACATGGATAAAGACTTTCTCTCCTCTACTAGAAGGAGAAAGATTTAAAGGGAAAGAGGGAGAGACTTGTCTCCTTGGGATTTGAAGAAAAAGAGAGAGAGAGCAGGGGGAGTAACTTGTCTCCTATTCTCTAAAGGAAAAGAGAAAGGCGGGGAGACTGCTTACCCGATCTAAAGGTGGCGAGAGAGCTGTTTGGCATGCTAAGCGTGAGCTGCTGGTCTGGTCTGGTGTGATGTGTTTGAGGTCTCAGGTGGGTCTCTTCACAGAGGGAGAGGGGGACAGGGAGCTGGTCTCCCCGAAGGAGTACCCCCTGTCCTGGGTTTCAGCACCAAATGTTAAAACATTCATTCTGAATGAAGTGACCCCCCAAACAGGCTTTGTGTGAGCAGCATAGCTGTTTATTCTTCTGGTGCAGACGGGCTGTAGGTTTGCAAGCTGGTAGGGGAGTCCTAGGGTGTGGAGTCATGAGGCTGGCCAAGGTCGGTTACAAAGTCCAAAAGCTTTGTCAATTGAGGCCAGAACAAAAAACAATAGAAGAATGTCTCAGGTTTGTTAGACACCACAGGGGTTGATACTTTCTTCCAGGATACTCAGCTGGATGTAAGTACAGGTCACAGAAATTACCACGCCATTCGTGGTATGGTCAGACCTTACACCTGTCTCTACTAAAAATACAAAAATTAGCCGGGCATGGTGGCAGGTGCCTATAATCCCAGCTACTTGGGAGGCTGAGGCAGGAGAATCGCTTGAACCCAGGAGATGGAGGTTGC